CACCCCCTTTTTGACGTGTTTAGGATCACAAATTCCAAAAGTCTTCATTTTTTCTTAAACTCTGCACCCAATCAAAACGGAGGGAGTACTAGAAACTATGAACTGGAGACTATAAACTACAGTGGAAAGTATTCATGACTAAAATGTAAGGCAATGACTATAATATTGATAGGAAATTGCTTTGCACAATTTACTTCAATACAATCTAATTTCTACGAAGATACCGCTACAAAAACTACCGCGTCTTTCAAACTCAAAGCAACAATAAAACACGGCCTTTCCTACTATTCAATCCGCTTTCGCTTACCAATTCCACACTTCCCTTCATATACAAATAGCATATACACATTAAACCAAAGACTGAACAAACAACTACTATATATATTCATCCCCTTTGATCACCAAAGAATATATCATTCTCATCTCTACATTGTAGCCTATAGTACACCAAAGGAACAAAGAAATAATATAAGTCGGCAACTAATTTTTCATTCTTGATGGCAGAATCCCACTTGAACGGATCCTATTATGGACCCTCCATTCCGCCACGGTCGAAAACCTACCACCGCCATGGCCGTGGCAGCAGCTGCAACCCATGTAGCTGTCTCTTCGGCTGCCTCTGCAATTGTTTTTTCAAAATTATCTTCACCCTTCTATTCATCCTCGGAGTCATTGCATTAGTACTCTGGCTCGTTCTTCGTCCTAACAAAGTAAAATTCTACGTGACCGATGCTACGTTGACTCAGTTCGATTTGTCCAACACAAACAACACTATTCACTATGATCTTGCTCTCAATATGACTATTAGAAACCCAAACAAGCGTATTGGAATTTACTATGATTCAATTGAAGCTAGAGCTATGTATCAAGGGCAGAGATTTGCTAGTACAAATTTCCAACCATTTTATCAGGGTCACAAGAATACTAGCAGCTTGCATCCGGTGTTCAAAGGTCAGAGCTTGGTTCTATTGGGAGACAGAGAGAAATCCAATTATAATAATGAGAAGAATTTAGGGGTATATGAGATGGAAGTGAAGCTTTACATGCGTATAAGGCTTAAGGCTGGTTGGATCAAAACACACAAAATTAAGCCAAAGATTGAGTGTGATTTCAAGGTACCTTTGGATTCTAGTGGCAGATCATCATCTGCTAATTTTGAGGAAACCAGATGCCATCTTGATTGGTAGTTTTCTTCTATTTTGGCAGATCGTCTTCACATTTCGATGGAGCTTGTTTCTGTTTCTTCATTATTGTTTTTTTTATATGTTGTATTTCCTGATCTATTCTTTGGATATTCTTTATTATGGGATTTCTATCCCTTTTGTTTTCCGGCGTTTAGTGTTCATTGATATACATGGTACCATCTTGTTATATTTGGATATGGTTGTACGTAAATAAATTATGTTGTTAAATAAAAAGTCGACGTTTTCCATTTACAAAGAGAATATAAAGTAAAGGTCAAGTTGCACGTTGGATAGATAACTATATACTTATATTGGTCCCTCGAATTGACGATTTGTTTCTCTTGGAGTTCAATAATTTGAAAATTCAATTATCTATCTCTCTCTCTTGGTGAACATGTGTTAGTATCCTGTACTTGTAAAAATAATTCTGGAAAATATAAAATAGCGTATAAACAGAAATGAAAAACAGAAACAAAATATAATCCGAGCCCACTGAATTCACAGTGTTTCCTTAAGGAATTTAATCCCCTCCTAGTACCCAAGGTTTAGCGGTACTTCAAACCCAGTATTTCAGCGAACACAAGGATCAGTAGCAAATCACACTTACTGTTGCTTAGTAGTTAAAACAATGCAGAAGAAAGGAGGAGAAGTCAGAAATTCGTATAAAAAACTTGAGAGAATGGACTGCAATTTATAGCCCTAACCTGTTGAGTTCAAATGAAGAGTTGTAACTCTTTAGAGGCCAGTTATGTAAAACAAGCAGAGGAAACGGTTTTCCGTTACAAAAAACGGACAGTCAATGAAACGGATAATTTGAATTATTAATCTTCCGTTACAGACACGGATTACGTTAATATTTACTATTAACAAATAAATTTGGTCCAAAAAATTAATCAATCAATCATTTGACCACATCCGAAGCCGAAGCTGAAGCCGAGCGACGACGACGGCGCGAGGCTTGCCTTCTTCTTAACTCCTTAACAGCTAAAAGAAGAGCATATGTATATATACCCATAAAAAACCATTTCCTCTTCCAATATGGGACAATGTCCCATTGTCAAGGGGGGAGGGGGGGGACTTAAAATTTTTATTTTTCCTCCATTTCCCATTCACCCTCTTTTAAGCTTATTTTAGCTTAAAAACCTCAACAATCCCCCACATGAATGGGGAATGGCTATATCACAAAAATATGCATGAAAAACTGTGTGATTCGCAAGCAAGGATGAATCGTATTTGGATAAGTAGGTTTCCCTTTGAACTTTCCGTAGTGAACTTATGTTGGATATACTCGGTCACTAGGTAGATTTGATTTCTTTGAACCATCGAACTTTAGTGTATACCTAGACAACCATAAGTCACACAACCAACCCTTAACCGTCTTTGGTTCATTGTTTTGTTCGTTTCAGCCATGAACACCGCCTGGTTTCAAAAGTGCGTAGAGAACTGGCCTTACAAAATTCTCCTTGAAGCGGCTAACACTTCACACTTACATAGGTGATTCCTAAACGTGTCATCCCGTAGATACACCATTTGATATATCCCGTATCAAATTTAGAAATCATTAAAAAACCTTAATGCTTTATCCTTTGTACTTAACATTATCTCATCACGAGAATGGACCAAAATTTTAGCTGACAATGTTTAACCGTCATTAATGACTTTGTTTGATCTCCTTGAACCTAGATCTTGGGATCTCCAGTCTTCTAGGTAGAGTTACCGCCACAATGACTTGCTATCGGCCATATTCCAATTTCCCTCGATGATTTCTTAACTACCTCTCTAGTTAGGCCTTTTGTAAGTGGATCAACGTAGTCAATCGTGATAATTCCTCTAGAGAGTAGTTGTCTAACGATTTTATGTCTTCGTCGTATATGACGAGATTTACCGCTATACATAACGCTCCCAACCCTTCCAATTGCCGCTTGACTATCGCAATGTATGCATATTGGTGCCAACGGTTTGGGCCAAAATGGAATGTCTTCCAAGAAATTTCGGAGCCAGTCATCTTCTTCACCGGCTTTATCTAAGGCTATGAACTCAGCCTCCATTGTAGAGCGGGCAATACAAGTTTGTTTGGACGACTTCCAAGATACCGCTCCTCCACCAATAGTGAATACATATCCACTTGTGGACTTAGAATCAGTTGAACCGGTGATCCAATTTTCATCACAGTATCCCTTAATCACCGCAGGATATTTATTGTAGTGCAAAGCAAAGTCCTGGGTATGTTCTAAATATCCCAAAACACGTTTCATTGCTATCCAATGAGATTGACCTGGATTGCTCGTGTATCGACTCAATTTACTTATAGCACAAGCTATATCTGGTCGTGTACAATTCATGATATATATTAAGCATCCCAACACACGAGCATAATCCAATTGTGATATGCTTTGGCCTTTGTTCTTTGCTAATGCAAGATTCACGTCAATTGGAGTCTTTGCAACTTTAAACACGAAGTGCTTGAATTTTTCAAGTACTGTCTTAATATAATGAGATTGTGACAGTGCCAGGCCCTGAGGAGTCATATGGATCTTAATCCCCAGAATTAAATCAACAACTCCCAAGTCCTTCATATCAAACTTGCTAGTTAGCATATGCTTAGTCGCATTTATGTTGGCAATGTCATTACTCATTGTCAGCATATCATCCACATATAAGGAAACAATGACTATGTGATTTGGAACATTTATAATATACACACATTTATCACATTCACTTATCTTAAAACCATTTGACAACATTGTTTGATCAAATTTCGCATGCCATTGTTTAGGTGCTTGTTTTAGTCCGTAAAGGGACTTAACAAGTCTACCTTCTTTTCTTTACCTGGAACCACAAACCCTTCAGGTTGTTCCATGTATATTTCTTCCTCCAAATCTCCATTTAAGAAGGTCGTCTTAATGTCCATTTGATAAATTTCATGACCATAAATTGCAGCTAATGCTACTAACATTCGTATGGACGTAATTCTTGTAACTGGAGAGTATGTAGCAAAGTAGTCAAGACCTTCTCGTTGTGTATACCCGTTGACTACAAGTCTTGCCTTAAATTTATCAATAGTGCCATCATCCTTCATTTTCCTCTTAAAAATCCATTTAGAACCCAAAATTTTATTTCCAGGAGGAAGATCAACCAATTCCCATGTATGGTTGTTCAGTATCGATTCTATTTCACTATTGACTGCCTTTTTCCAAAACAATGATCCGAAGAAGGCATAGCTTCTTTAAATGTCCGAGGCTTATTTTCCAATAAGAAAGTCACAAAATCTGGTCCAAATGAAGTAGACGTTCTTTGACGTTTACTACATCTTGGATTCTCCTGATTAAATGTACTTTCTTTTGTTTCTTCCCGAGATCGTTTAGATCCTTCACCAATCGACTCACAATCCTTTTTATACGGATATATATTTTCAAAGAACTCAGCATTATCTGATTCTATAACCGCATTATTATGAATGTCGGGATTTTCTTATTTATGAACCAGAAATCGATATGCTTTACTATTGGCCGGTCGCATATCCTATGAAAATACAATCAACGGTTTTCGGTCCTATTTTTACCCTTTTGGGTTTAGGAACTTGCACTTTTGCCAAACACCCCCACACTTTAAAATAATTCAATTTGGTCTTCCTTCTTTTCCATTTTTCATATGGAATGGATAGTGTTTTGCTATGGGGTACTCGATTTAGTATTTGGTTAGCCGTAAGAACGGCTTCCCCCACAAGTTCTATGGCAAACCAGAACTTATCAACAATGCGTTCATCATCTCTTTTAATGAACGATTCTTTCTTTCCGCGATCCCATTGGATTGGGGCGTGTAAGGGGCCTTTTTTTGATTAATAATTTCATATTCTAAACATATTTCTTCAAAAAGAGATTCATATTCACCACCCCAATCACTTCTTATCATTTTGATTTTCTTGTTAAGTTGTGTTTCAACTTCATTTTTGTATTGCTTGAATGCGTCTATTTCTTCATCTTTACTATTAAGTAAGTAAACATAGCAATATCGAGTACTGTCATCAATAAAAGTTACGGAATACTTCTTTCCACCGCGAGATGGTATTGACTTCATGTCGCAAATATCTATATGAATTAAGTCTAAAGGATTTGAATTCCTTTCAAATGACTTATAAGGATGTTTAACATACTTAGATTTCACAAATATTTTGACATTTTGATTTGTCGCATTCAAACTTAGGCAATACTTCCAAGTTAATTATTTTCCACAAGGTTTTATAATTGACATGACCCAAACTTATATGCCGTAAATCATTTGACTCAAGTAAGTAAGAAGAAGCTGAAATTTTATTATTATTCTCAACAACCATTACATTCAGCTTGAAAAGGCCCTCATTGTGGTAACCTTTTCCTACAAACATTTCATTCTTACTTATTTTAACCTTATCATATACAAAGACACATTTAAACCCGTTCTTAACAAGAATTCCAGCAGAGACTAAGTTCTTTCTAATCTCGGGAACATGAAGGATGTTGATTTTCAGAAATATCTTCCCACATCCTTCAAGTTTGGCCATTGCAGAATTTCCATAGAAAGCGTCTATTCGGGTCCAACGGGAGCATATGTAGCAAACGCTTCTCTAACGGCACAAACATGGCAAGTGGCTCCAGAATCAATCCACCACTCCTTAGGATTTCCTACCAGGTTGTATTCAGAAAGCATAGCACACAAGTCATCAACATCTTCGTGCTTTTCAACCATGTTTGCTTGACCCTTCTTCTTGTCTTTCTTCGGAGCACGAAAATATGTAGATTTTTGTCTAGCTTTCCCAGAGTTGTAGCAATTTCCGTTGAGCCACTTCTTGCTTGGGTTGCTTTTCCGTCCAGAAGCCTGCTTCCTCTTTCTCTTATTTTGAGGAGTATCCTCAACAATGTTTTCTCCCATTATTGTTGAGTTTCCACGACCTCTCTTTTCAGCAACTTTGTTGTCCTCTTCGATTCTCAAACGAACAATGAGAACTTCAAGCGACATCTCCTTGCGTTTGTGTTTCAAGTAGTTTTTGAAGTCCTTCTACAAAGGAGGCAACTTCTCAATCATCGCTGCAACTTGGAATGCTTCATTGATGACAAGACCTTCAATGAAAATTCTGTTAGTAAACATAATAAAATTAATACTTTCAGTATCAGTATTAATTCTACTTATACCTTCAACATGGAGATCGTGAATAATCACTTGCAATTCCTGGACTTGGGTAATAACAAACTTGCTATCTACCATTTTGTAG